ATTTAATTATAAGCTTAATTAATATAAGAGATATATAAATTAAATGATATTTTTACTATATAATATTTTCTATAATATTTTTATATATTTTTTTATTTAATTTTAAAGTAAAAGACTTTAAAATTTACTTTTCCCCGTAATTTTACCATACATTTCAGAAATAAGGGGGGCGCAGACTTTTGGCTACCTCCTGTACGTAGAAACACCCAGTTGACGGTACCAGACGAGTGACATGGAGCATATCCGCGGCCGTTTATCCCAGGTCACAACATTGAGTGGGACATGGTGTCTGGTGCCCGTACACTCTACACTCTCTCAGTGACCTGCGTATTTGCAGCCTCAGGATGTCTCTTTTCGGCGATAAATCCATCCTTGCCACATACCCTACACCTGCATCACCGCCACGTCTAATATAAAAAACAATATATTCAATATCAGCTCTACATCCACGCCATGCCAGCGCCCAAACCAACCATGCCAACAGCAGCACCAACCACACGCGCGGTACACCTAGCCCCCCCTCCATGGGAAGTGCTACTAGACAAGGAACTGGTGGCGCTCGTGGCCGTCGCCCCCGATGCATCAGCACCGCCCGTCGTCGTCGCAGCAGCAGTAGTGGTCACCGGACAGTCGGCCGTACACGGCAAATCACTGGTAAAGACGCCGGACACAGTCGAGACGGCAAACACAGGCGACTGCGTAGCGGCTCTCGGGTCCGGCGCTGCGCCCTCCACGTCCGGGTTCAAGACATTGCCAATGATGTGCATGACGCCGTTGGCAAGCAGGATGTCCGGCTGGACGATGCGCGCCGAGTTGACATACTTGGTGTTGCCGTCCTGGCGCACCACCAGGCGCGCAGGCCTCCCGGCCGCGTCCGTCGCGAGCGTATCGTAGCTCGAGCCGTTGGCCAGGCGCGCCGACGAGAGCACCCTGCCCGGGACGACGTGGTACCTCATGACGCGGGCGAGGCGGGGGGCGTCGAGGCCCCTGAGCGTGCCGCCGACGAGGCCGTACGCGTCGTCGAGCGGTGCAAAGATGGTGACGTCCCTGCGCACGGCGAGCTCGGGCATCAGGCGCGCGGCGTACAGCGACCCCAGGAACGACCGGGCCTGGAAGGCGTCGGCCGTCTTGGCCACCTGCGCCGGCGGCACGAGCAGGTTGTCGACGACCTGCACCAGGCCGCCGGCAAAGGGGATGTCGGCCTCGAGCAGGCTGCAGCGGCTGCCCTGGCCGCTGGTGAAGACCAAGGCGTCGCGCTGCCGGTTGACGAGCACGCCCTGGCCGGCGGTGACGTTGGTCAGGGCCGGGCTCGTCAGGCGGCTGGTCTCGAGGTACGTCGGCCCCTCGCGCAGGGCGGCCACGGACACGGCGCCGTCGAGGATGTGATACTGCAGGATGGCCGTCGTCTTGTCCCTGTCGTCGGCGTCCCAGAGCGGCTGGAGCGCCGTGTAGGCAATGTTTGCCATGGCCTTGTCTGACGGCGCGACAATCTGAGAGCAAAAGCGTCAGCAAGCTGTTGAATTCCATCTCTGTGGTGTGAATTTTTTTTGCATCTTGCCGCGGAAAACTCATGGCATCTTTTGCCTGCGTGGCCACGGGGAGCGAGCGTCTCGTACGTACCGTCACTCCATTGTCACTCGGGAGCTCTAGCAAGACGTCTGGATATTTCTGGAAGAAAAAAAAGTCAGCCGCCAAAGGCAGAGTTTCAGGCACATACAAAACGGCACATTACCTTGATCAATTCATAAAACTTGGTCAGGTTCTTGTTCGCAGCCAGCACGGAGCCCAGGTCCTTGTTGTCGTCTGCCATGGCTGCGGCAACCAACGCGGCCAGGCTCAGCGCCGCCTGCAACCACATTGTCGTCCGTTGAGGGCAGCAAAAAGCACCAGGAGCTGTAACAAGAAATGGAATGCAAATTTTTCTCTTTGGCTATACGGCCAAGGGATGCATCAATGCCCAAGATGCCTCTGGAGGAGCTTCACGTCGCCCCGCGTGTGCAGAGACAAAGAGACGGACAAAGAGCACGACATCCGACGATGTTGTTGGTGCCGCGACGTGACAGCTGGCCGGTGCGCGACGCCAGCCGGCAATACTAGCTTCCCGCCAGCGAACACCACGTCGCAAAAATCATGGCCAACCTTTTATCCGCGGCGTCAACCGGGTCGGCCTGGCATTTACAAAAAAAAGCCGAGTGCAACACGAGAGGGGGGCGTGGCATCCTGGGAGTTGCCGCTTTCCCGGGTCTCAAATCAGACGAGTTGCGGTCTCAACCGGCCGGGCAGCAGTCTTGGAACACGATGAAAACAAGAGACACAGATGAATGATGGGGAATGCGCACCAATCTGTCAAACCCCATTGTTCCATCTGGCTCGAGCCGGTCTTGTGGAGGGAACACAGGGCCGGAGACGAGATTTCCAGAATACGAAGCCATCGGCGCGAAGACACCAACCGCCATCCAACGACCAAAGTCGCCCGAGTCCTTGTGAAACCGCCCAGTGACACTCGAGATGGATTTTGAATTTGATCCTCTTTTTTTCGGGCGCCCGGCCGCACCGGACCTGTCACGGCAGTCCATTGTAGACATTCGTCGGGGACGGGTGTAACCCCGGCCTTGGGAGCTGCTCACCACCCACATAGTCTCTCACCTTTTCCGTGTGCCCGCAGCCTGCCGTTTACCAACATTCTCCGGCTCTCGTACGATGG